GTTAGATAATGTGATAGACATGTGAGTTTTATTGATTTAAAGTTTATTTGGATAACTTAAAGATTTTTTTTTTTAGTTTTTTAAGTTTTCTTTTGTTATGTTTATAATTATATTATAAAATATAGTTGAGTATCTACAACTTATAAAAAATATTTCTGATTTTTTGGAAGAGAAAGGAATGCAAGTTTTAATATTTTTTTTTTGAAAATTTGTGAGAGAGATTAAAGGGAGAGATTGAATGATATTTTTTTTATTAAATAAATAAATCAGTCAATAGTTTTTTTTAATCTATTTTTTAAATTAAAATCAATAATTTTGGAAAATTGATTAATTTGTCCCATTAAGTGATTTAAAATTTTTAAGATATCATAATAAAATACATAATTATATTTATTAAATCATTAATTCAAATTTAGATGCTATATCTTTTTGAGATCTATAGCTAATTCTTATTTTTATTTTTATTTTTTGGTGTGTAACCATATGTGTATGAGAGAAATTGAAAAGGATGTGCAATAATTATATGAAGAGAGTCAAAAGGGATTGTGGGTTGAAAGAAGTCAATAAATGCTGAGGTTGGGATTGGGAGAAGTCAAATAAATGCTGAGTTTTTTTTTTTAAATCAACAAATTTAGAAAAATAGGATTAGGAAATTGGAGCTCCACAGGTTGAGGTTAAAACCTCCTTTTGCTTCAATATATAGTTTAGACTATAGCCTATCACCCGTGCTATGCACGGGATACTTATAGATATTTATATTGTTTTAGATTTTTTTTAATATATAAATTATGTTTTTTTAAGATTTTTTATAAAAGTAATTTAACATCTTATCACTACCATAGTGTATGACAGAAGTTGAAAGGTATTGCAGTAACTATACACAGATTTGTATCTCTATAAATTATTTGCAGGGGGCTTTTAAATATTGATCAGGGGATTTTGACCAAATCAATAAATGCAAGGCATGGTGGAAAGACGATGTTGATTGAAAAAGTTAATAAATGTTGATCAACGGGATTTTGACACAAATTAAATAAATTAATATTAAATTTTTCCCATGTTTTTTTTTCTCATAAAAAAAATAGCTACATTAATTATTTTTTTTTTATTTTTTATTTTTTTTTGTGGAGAGGGGTTTTGATCCTGCTATTTTTCAAAATGGGTGTTCTGGATGAAAATGTAGAGTTGGTTCAGGCAATGAGAAAAAGTGTTATGTAAGACATTAAATATGTTGTTCATGCAATGTGTTAATTGCATTTTATGTATAGTCTAGCAAAGACAATTAAAATATTTGTTATTAATATGCAATGTGTTTTTTTAGTAACTTCACAAATTAAATGTGTTGGTTATTACAAATTAAATGTGGCGGGTAGCAGATGGGTCTGTGGTGGTGGTGGCAGATGGGTGGTGAGGTTGGTGAGGCTGGTGGTGGCAAATGGGTGGTGGGTGGTGCTGGGTGGTGGTGGAGGTGGGTGCTAGTTGGTGCAATGGGTATGGGTAGGTGGGTGTGGGTCTGGTGGTGGCAGGTGGGTGGTCTATATATATTTTTTAATCACACATTCTAATTAAAGTGTGGTTATTTATATATTTTTTAATCACACCTTCTAATTAAAGTGTGATTATATATACATTACTACTTTTTAATCATACTTTTTAAATAAGTGTGATTGTATAAAATATTTCAAATTGATTTTTATATAAAATATAAAATTCCCAAATTTTTAATCACACTTAATCTGATTGAGTGTGATAATATTTATTTTTTATGTCACTTTTAATTAAGTGTGAAAAAATTTGAGAAAAGAAAGAAAAAATGAGAGAGAAAAAGTGATTGATTGATTAATTAATAATAATAATAATAAAAGAGAAGAAAAGAAAAGAAATTTTGAAAGTAATTTTAAATTATATTCCCCTTAGCAATTTAATTTTTTTAAATACTAATTTTGCCCTTACTGGGTAAATTACATTGACACCCCTTACATTTTAGAAATTACAATCCTCTCCCTAAGGTTTAAAGTAGCATTACCAATTGCTGGTTAGTGATAAGATTGTTAAATTATTTTTATAAAAATCTTAAAAAATATAATTTATATATTAAAAAAAATTAAAACAAATATAAATATTTATAATTATCTCGTGGATAACACGAGTGATAGGCTAGTGTATAGTTATTGGAGTACCCTTTCCAACTTCTTCCATACACTATGGTTAGTGATATGATTGTTAAATTATTTTTATAAAAAAATCTTAAAAAATATAATTTATATATTAAAAGAAGTCTAAAACAAATATAAATATCTATAATTATCCCGTACATAATACGGGTGATAGGCTAATTAATTTTAATTCAAATGATGATTTGAAAAAAGAATTGAATTTTGAAAATAACCAAAAACTACCTATATTTTTTCAAAAATCCATCTGTCATATTATATATATACATATACATATATGTTGCTGGTGATCTTCGGCCCTCACCCTCCTCATCCACCGACGCACATTTCTCTCTCGTTCGTTCAATACATTTGGGACTTTTCATCTCTCTCTCTCTCTCTCTCTCTCTCTTCCTCATCTCCCAATATTCTTTCAATGCTTTTGAGATTTTAGTCTCTTCTGGTTTTTTTCCTCATCTCTTTCATTGTTTTTTGCCCCCACTTCCAGACATCTCTTTCCATTACTAATCTCTTACGATGGTTGTCTCCTCTCATCAATCTATCCTCTATTGATTATCTTCAATATTTTTGTCGAACTCATCACCGTCAGACATTCTTCATCATCAACGAACACAAGTAGAAGGCAGAGCATCAGATTTGTAACTATTTTGTAGAGGGAAGAGAATTATTTTGGTACATCTCTTAGATCTGCAACTAGTTTGGTTATTTATTTATTTTTTTAAAATCATCATCCACTCTACTGATGTGTTGTTCACTGCACCCGACCGACACCGACCGACATCTTTGGATTCCAAGAATAGAGAAAGAGGTAGGAAACATAAGAGAAAGATGGAGTGTTTACAGACTATTATATAACAGTGGGTCTTCAAATTTAAGTATTTTAAGATCAAAAGCCCATCTTATAGGAGTGCTTGCAAATAACGTTTTCTTACCTTTTGCAGAGTCACCCCGCTCACTCACTTATATTCCTCCCTACAAATCATTTGATCTTGGGTTCATCCATGGCTTCTAAAAGAACCTTAGATCATTCTTCTTGTTTTCCAGCCCAAAAAAAGAGGAAAGGCTCTTCTTGTTTTGCTTCTTCATCATCTTCAACACAACCTCGCTGGACCTATCACGTGTTCTTGAGTTTCAGCGGTGAAGATACCCGCAAAAACTTTACTGATCATCTCTACGATGCCTTGGATCAAGCTGGAATTCACACCTTCAGGGATGATAAACTTCCAAGAGGATGTGAAATTTCTCCCGAGCTTCTCAAATCAATCGAAGGATCCAGGATCTCCATCGTTGTTTTCTCAAGAAATTATGCTTCTTCCAGATGGTGCCTTGATGAGCTCGTGAAGATCATTGAATGCAAGGAAACAATTGGGCAATTAGTTCTCCCAATATTCTACGATGTTGATCCATCCGACGTACGCGACCAAAAACGGTGTTTTGGAGTAGCATTTAGTAGACATAAAAAACGTTACGGGGATGAGATGGAGAAGGTGGAGGTTAGGAGAGTTGCCCTCTCTAAAGCTGGTAATATATCAGGCTGGGTTTTGAAAAATGTTCCTAATGGGTAATTTTTAACATCCTTTTAATTTTGCTGCTGCTGCTGCTATCAATTTTTATCTTTTAACTATTGTTTTTAATATTTTAAAAATATATATATATATATATATCAAATATAGTTAGTTCACTTTGTGTTTGTGAGTTCAAGATGTTTTGAATTTTACATTTCTTAACTGCATATTTTGAGTGGGGTTTCTAAGGTTTTGGATTTCTGTAATATACAATAGCTTTTCTTTTAATTTGGATCCAAATTGACAGGCATGAAGCAGAGTTGATCCGAAAAGTTGTTAAAGAGGTGGCTTCATGTAAACTGAAAGAGACATTCCTATATGTTGCTAAGCACCCAGTTGGAATAGAGTCTCGTGTTGCAGACATCAATTCGTTGTTGAGCATTGGATCAGATGATGTTAGCATGATTGGGATATACGGCTTGGGTGGAATAGGCAAAACAACCATAGCAACCGCTGTGTATAACTGTATTTTCCACCAATTTGCAGGAAGTTGTTTTCTTGCAAATGTTAGAGAATTTGCAGAACAATCCAATGGCCTTTTTCAATTGCTAGAACAACTTCTTTTTCAATTATTGGGGACAAAGAATCTAAAGATTGACAGTGTTTACAGAGGAATTAATTTGATGAAAGAAAGGCTCCCACTACAACAAAAACATGCTTTAGTGGCACTACACTAGTGACATATTTTTAGAAAATGCCACAAAAAATGATATTTAGTGGCACGTTTTTGAAAAATGCCACAAAACGACAAACATAAAAGGCTCTAGTGACATTTCAATGAACAAGTGTCACAAAACTACAACAAAAACATACTTTAGTGGCACTACAATAGTGGTATATTTTTAGAAAATGACACAAAAATGATATTTAGTGGCACGTTTTTGAAAAATACCACAAAACGACAAACATAAAAGGCTCTAGTGACATTTCAATGAACAAGTGTCACAAAACTACAACAAAAACATACTTTAGTGGCACTACAATAGTGGTATATTTTTAGAAAATGACACAAAAATGATATTTAGTGGCACGTTTTGGAAAAATGCCACAAAACAACAAACATAAAAGGCTCTAGTGACATTTCAATGAACAAGTGTCACAAAACTACAACAAAAACATACTTTAGTGGCACTACAATAGTGGTATATTTTTAGAAAATGACACAAAAATGATATTTAGTGGCACGTTTTGGAAAAATGCCACAAAACAACAAACATAAAAGGCTCTAGTGACATTTCAATGAACAAGTGTCACAACACTACAACAAAAACATATTTTAGTGACACCATACTAGTGGCATGTTCTTAAAAAATGTCACAAAAAGAATATTTAGTGGCATTTTTTAGAAAAATGTCATAGAGCCACAAACATACAAGGCTCTAGTGGCATTTAATTAAAAAAAGTGTCACTTCACTACAACAAAAATATCACTACAACAAATTTATACTTTAGTGACACTACACTAGTAGCATGTTTTTAGAAAATGCCACAAAAATAAAAATTGGCATTAAATGTTTTAGAAAAATGCCACAGAACCACAAAACATATAAGGCTCTAGTGGCATTTCAATAAAGAAATGTCACATCAATTTTATGACATTTTATAAAATAATGACACAAAAAATTATGTTCGTGACATTTACCAACAGATGCCACTAAACTTTAGTTGCAATGGCATTTTTTAAAAAATGTCAGGACACTAGGTAGATGCAAATTACTTTTTATGGCACTTAGGTGAAAAGTGTCATAAACAAATATTTTATAGCATTTTGAGAAATGCCACTAAGCCAAAAACTTTCCAAAAATGTATTTTCTTGAAGTTACGTAACTTACAAATTAACAAAAGGTTCGAAGGAAGGACCAATTTGAAATTGAATTTAAAAGGCATCTAATAGTTCAAATTAAAATAATAGAAAGTACAGTGAAATTTGAGTCAAATTACAAGGGTTAAAAGTGTAATTCATCCCCAAAAAAAAAAATAATTCAAAGAAATTTCATAAAATCTTTAAATTTTCCTATTTTATTTTTTATTTTGTGTCTGTCGATATTAGCCTACCTACTGCTAATTAAAAATATGCTTATTTCAACAAGTAGAGAGAGAGAATTAAAAGAGAAACAAAACTCATATTGCCTTCCAATTTTTTTAACACTTTAACAGAAATGTATCAATTAGAGAAAGAATTAAAGAGAGACAAAGACTCATTTAATCCCCATCAACTCATGATCAATAATTTAACAGTTTTTCTATATATAACACTAATTAATTGGGGAAAAAAAATTGTATCAAGCAGTTAAATTAAAAATAGATGAGAAGTGTATATAACATTCTATAACCTGTACCTTGGTACATTTGTAGAGACCTGTGAAACAGCTTCCATGATTGAGAGATAAACACAATGCTTGCTTGAAAACTTTTGCAGTCTGTGTTGCCAAAGGCCTTTACTACTTTGATTCTGTTTGGGAAATATTAGCCTCCCTTTATAGATATGCAAACCTACCTACCATTGAGTTGAATATGGGTAGAAATTTAATTACAACAAGCTCTGTAGTTTCGGTATGGGTTTGATTTTTCTTAAATTGTAATTTTAATTTGAGAGAGTGTTTGAGTTTGGTAGGTCTATTTTTAGACCGATTTTGATAATCTGAACCGTTCATTTTTTAAGTCTCGTTGAGTAGAATATTTATGCAAAAAATCAAGATAATGAAATATCGATAGTTATATGTTTGAGTCATATTTGTTTTAGAAAAATGGACAACAACTATAATTTCAAAAATAACTATACATTTTTTGTAACACAAATTTAATTCAAACATATAGTTATTGATATTCGATCATCTTGATTTTTTACATTAATATTCAACTTAACAATTCCTAATAAATGTACAGTTCGGATCACCGAAGTCGGTTCTAAAATGAACATACCAAGTCCAAACGCTCTCTCAAGTTGAGATAGCTAACATGAGATAAACTCAATCATTTTAGTATAATTATATTGATTTTTGTTTTAATAAGGTTAAAAAAATATGACAATGTCATAAAAAAAAACTGACAATGCAAATGGTTTGAAAATGTAAA